GCGAGCATCATCATCATTTCGGAATGTCGCTCTCGGGCCTCAGAGCGTTCGAGCTCCATTCGCGCCTCGAATTGGCGACGGTTTTCCTCCTTCTCGGCCTTCCACTTCTCTTCTTGTGCAAGTCGATCGGCTCTCTCTTCTCGAAGGCGATCACTCTCATCCTGCCTCGCGCGCTCTCTTTCTTCCTTTTCCCTCTTTTCGACAGCGTCTCTTTGAGCTTTCTCTTCATGGCGCCGTAGCTCCGCTGTTTCGGCTTTTCGGTCGCTCTCTGCACGGTAAAATATCAAAAGGCGCGTCATGTCGTTGGTATCGGATCCGTGTGCCTCCTCTAACCCGGTAATCTGCTTTCCAAGGTTTTCGATACGCTTCGCGGTCTTTGTGCGTTTCGCTTTAGTGAAGGTCTCGAATTCAACTCGTTCACTCTGTTAGAGCGCTTACTCAGCTCTTCGATGTTGTCTCTCACAACTGTAAGATCTTGGCCTCCGAGTCGATTGCTGACACTGGAGAGACGGGGGTTGCGAGCTTTCTCGCGAGCGTCGGCTACAGCACGCCCTGGGTCACGAAACAACACTGCTCCGTCCGGAGAAGTCATAGGTGGCGTGGTAGGCGTCGGCTTCGGCGGACGACCCGCACTTCTCTGTGGGACTTCTTCAGTGACCCCTTGAGGCTGAAATGTGGTGTTTGCGTCGGGATTCGGTGACAACCCTCCATAGCTAGTTCGACAGTATTGGTCAACACCAGCGGCCGGGTTGTCTATACTCGTTTGAAAGTCACGACGTTATCGCCATCCACATCGTTGGCGCAAGGTTCTTCTTCTCTCTCTTCTTCGTCCTCGTCCGAGTCGGAGAGGCCGAGAGCCGCAGCAAGGAAAGCATCAAACGTTCCGGAACTAGTTATAGCAATGCCAGAGTACTGTGCTTCCGGAATCGGAGACTGAGATTGTTTGGAACATTTGGCAAGCTGCGAGACAACATTCTTCTCCTTACTGGCTGGAGAGCTGCCGACAGGATCGCGTTCTTGTGAGACAGACGTGTGTCCCTCGCGGCACCCGTTAGCTACAGGCAAGTGAGGCAATGGGGCCCCGCCGCTAGACGCAGGTCGATTGATCTGGCTTTGATTCTCTTTCTCCTCGTCTTCTTCAGTCTCGACGCCGTCGAAGGATGTATGCGTCCCGGCTTTTTCTTCGATGGTCATCTGAATTTTTTCGGCCCACATTATTGCCTTGTGCGCAGGTTTCACCTCTCCGTTGCCCGATGGTTTTGGCTTGTTATACAGATTTTTGAATTTTCGGCGTAGAGAATCCAAGTCTCTCTCAAGTGAACTCCTGCCTCGGCGGGAGTTATACCGGATCGTCAGGCGCTCCCACTCGTTCCTTCCGGTAGGAACAATCTTCTCTGCAATTGCACACAGTAAAAGCTGCTCTCGCACGGAGTAATTCGCGTAGCCAGTTCTTCGACCTCTCTGGTCGAAAACACGATATCAATAGTGATCAGACTCACAGCGATGGGAACTGTTTTTGCATACCGTCATAATCCGTGAGTTGTTGCTTCGGCTCTTGATAGAAGATCGGGGAATGAAGAGCAAATCCTTCGAGCCGCATAATTTAACCTCGCAAGAAAAAGACACGAAGATTTAACCTCGAGAAGTCAAACGTTCGAAAAAAAGTGGGCCGTATTCACATACGAATCTTTTCAACATTTACACTTTGTCTCCAAGTTGGAGTACCTCATGACATGCGCAGCTGACTACAGATCGTGCAGGTGCTGGATATCTCTGTGCTGGCATCCGTCCCATCCGCAACGGCAAATAAACCACAACGCGTTCCCATACGCTACCGTGATTTCATCTCCTGGGAACACATCTCTGACGGTGGCGACCGCCACCGTCAAATGTCGACCCGTTTGAACCTCGTGGAAGCGAGCACAGGGATTACAGGCGTGATTGGCCAGCCTGAAGAGACCACCCGCCTCTCTGGCGTCAATGCCGTAACGCTGTCCAGATTGAGCAGGTGTTTTCAGATGAAGCATGTAGCCGTTGTTTCGGTATCCATTTGCACACGGAGGTCCAAAAACCTCGATCTTGCCAAAATATTCCCCAATAATTGTGTCCTTTGGGATAGCGCGAGTAGCAACAAGACCGAGGCCACCTCGGAAAGAGCTTTTGCAAATGGCAATGCGTTTACTTTCTCTTAAGGCATTTCCACACATTCCCGCGTAAGAGCAATTTCCACGGTAGCAAAAGCGATTTTACTTCGCATTTTGGCAGGTCGAAACATTGCAAAGCTCCCGGCAGTGACACATCCCACCTGCTGACACGGAGGCATATTTGAAGTAGGCTGGTGTGATGTGGCCGTGGAGACGCTCCACATGTTCAGGCCAAGTTGCTGGTTCCCAACGTTTTGGCCCTTTCGAATGACCTTTGGTCTCAATGAACTCAAACCCCGGCGAGCTACATGTCGAAGAAAGAGTCGAATCCGAGTCATGCCCTGAGTGGTGCCTCGTGGACCCCGGCACCACGTCGAACGCCGAAGAAGCTTGCGAGATAGAGAAGTCGGAGTCGGCGCTTTGGTCGAGCCTTCCGTTCTTCTTTGCTTTACGCGTCGGTTGAGGACGTAGTCTGGAAGGAGACGACGATGCCTGGCCTACGGAGGACTCCTCCGAGTCAGACCCGTGGAGTCTCAGGTCTAGTGTAGAAGCCACGGAAGAGGTGTCCGACCATGCCGACACGACGTCAGAAAGAGATGTGATAGCTCGATCCATCGGCACTATACGAGACGACCCAGACACGGCGTCAGGAGCATACTGGATAGAGTCTCCATCGGAAGTATCGGGCAGCGAAAACATCGTCGTCTGCATCGTACCAGTGGCGAACACACCCGGAACGTCCAGATCGTGCGGGCTCACGATGGGGTCGTTCCTCTTCGTAGGAGATGGTCTTGACCGCTTGGCGAGGCTCCTAAGTCCGCCGATACTGCCGGCGTCTCCAGGGGCGCGCTTACGTTTTCCACTTGCGCGTGTCATCACGAAGCTGGCGCCTGCATCGACGGCATGTAAGAACAAGATCCAGCAAAAGATTGTACGATAGCAATTTGAACGTGCACGCACAAAATCGATATAACGGAGAGCAAACTTCGAGCTCTCTCTCCTCCCGCCTTCCAGACAGATTCGAATATGAGAGGTAGTTTAGGCGCGGTTTTTGAGGTTCGACCCGCGCGCGGGAAGATGTCATGACGCTTGAAGATCCAATTTAAACGGGGGGGGTTGCAGCTTCAGGGGATATTGAAGCTCAGCAATACAGCTTAACATACACTTTGGGATGGGTTGCCGCTTGACCGCACACACTTAACGTCGAGTTTTTCTCGAAAAACATGAATAAACCGAATTGTTTGATCTGACCATTTTTTTGGTCAACCAAACAATTTCGATTTAATCCGCCGTTTAATTGCACGTTTGATCTGACCTAGCCCTACGGATAAAACCTGTTTTATGTGGGTTTTGGAAGGCGCCCATTGGATACAGTGAAAGGTTCTAAATCAACATTTTGCTAACGTTAATAGAGCATTTCCAATGGTTTCTGGCTAGGAGCTGTAAAAAAGAAATTGGATATGCCAGAAATACTTTTCCTGTTTTCATTGTGTTTCGTTAGGGGTTATTCTAGAAAAAGAGGAGGAAAATAAATACTTCAGTAAGTGCAGTGACTCCAAAAATCATAAAGAAAACAACGCAGGAAGTAATTTATAGGAAGACCATTGTTTGCGTAATTTAGTGATGGAAAAAAGAAAGAACCATCTAGGAGATGCCACAGGATTTTCTCTTTGGTGTTTTTCCTATTTTACCACAAGCCCCCCCCCTCCCCCAACTTGGGGCAACGGGTCACGCGCGACCAGCGTGGCTGGAAGCATGTCAATCGACGTAGTGTTTCGAAGTATCGTTAAATATACGGGGTATTATATCAGCATTTCATAGTGCATTCATTTTTATATAACACACCACTCAACAACGGGGGCGAGTCTAATTTGACAATTACAGACCGAGAATGTAGAAGCTGAATGTCGCGGTTCTTTTAGTCTTCGTACTGTACCTCTTCATGAATGACAGTGCCACAGGATGAAGACGAAAGTTGTTTTTGCCACAACACTATTTACTGTATGGTGAGCGCGTTTCGCGTGCCGTCTTGTCACAAAAGTCGAGATTATGGGAGCGATGCCCGCAGCCTTTTGAGGCCGTTTGACTCCTAAGCTTACTGTAGACTGTTGGCGTTTTCTATGATTGAATTGGAGTTTGGAAGGGGGTCGGCACCCCTCTTCAAGATTTTATCTTTGAGCTTGAGAGAGGACAAAACTGGGATCCTAAACTTGCTGCTCCAATGCTGACAAGACTACGATCTATGTTCTCAGTGCAGGAAAGTACAGATTGTTTAGATGCCCTCATACTCGCCAAAGCATCACAAAATGAAAGCATCATTATAGAAAATCAAAAACTGCATCCATAAATTAACAAAGTCGTGCTTCATCCTCTGAGATAAATTAGAAGTTGGCCTTCTATTTGTTTCTTTTCTATAGAATTCAGAGAATAAATGACAACACGCTCCGAAAAATTACTGCCTGTACCTAAAATTCAAAAGTCAACATGAAAATACCGGTAAAGAAGCTCTCAATTCTGAAAAATATTACCAATAAAAAAGTTCAAACAAAACTGGTGCTGTTATTCTATAAAACAGTAGCATTTCTATTTCAGATACCAAAAAAAAGGTAGAAGCTGGAAACTGCTGGTATTATTATCACACAAGTAAAATCTCACCCGCACAACTTTGAATGCAAGTAACCCAGGGTGCAGCATCAACATTGCTATTAATAATGGGTATTTTGTCTTTTTGCTATAACTGCAGACACCTACAGTGCTCTCTGCAATTATCGCGATCGATAGGTTAAGCAGAAAGGAAGCGTCACAAAAAAAGTATCGGCAAGCAGCACTCCACGTAAACAGCGCTAGCTAATAGCAAATAGCAAAGTAAATCATATCCAGTAATTCACGTCATAGACTCTTGGAGTACAGCTCGTTCTTGACTGCAGCGCTTCGTTCTTCCAGGCGCTTCGAGTTGGGCGGGTCCACCCGCATGGTGTAATTATACCGACGTCGAAAGTCCTTCTTCTCCGTTAGAGAACGCAGCGCAAAGTAGTATTTCGCATACACAGACGCGGAGATGTAGAGGTCCCACTGGATGTGGTGCAGGAAGAGCCGCTCCAGGCGGTTGATCGAGTGCAGCGAGAACTGCGGATAAATATTGCTGATCTCGACATTCCACGAGCTCAAGTCTTGCCACACTTTGGACGCCAGTAGCAGGCCACACACCACAATGGGCCTCCAGGTTGCTGCCAGCAGCGGCACATTGGCCTGCTCCATCAGTCTCTCGATGTAGATCAAACACACGATCGTGCACTCGGCACTGAGCTGCGCCTTGTTGAACAAGTTCTTGCAGAAGCGGAAGATCTCGTCCACGCTGGGGACGTGTCTCTTGGACGTGATTTTCTCCATCCGGTAGACCGTCAATGGGTGCACTCGGGGCAGCCTCACAAAGGTATACTTGTACTGCGGAGTGACGAAATGTTCCTCTCGGAAGGTTTCGTCCACGGGCAAATCCACGAGTCGCGGAGAGGAAATACTACTCGGATTCGTGGTGTTTCCCTCGTCTCTTGCTGTAGCGTCGACCACTTCATACGTTGCGGAAGTGTCGTCTGTGTTGTGGTCGTTGTATGTCGCCGTCTCCTCCGTCAAAGTGGGAGATCGAGACTCGTTTAGGTTTCTTTCTTCTGGCGTCTTGAGGGCCGACACCGCAGCTGCAATTGCCGTGGAAATGCCTCCAATGTTGCCGGTGCCGGTGCCGCGTTGCTGCTCTCTATGCCGCTTCTCGCAGCGTCTGATATGTTGGTACAGCACGACGCTCACACGTCGCAGAAAGTCGTCGTAGTTGGGTTGCGCGATTGAAGACACGGAGCTGGGCGGCGCTAGGCTGGTGCTGCCCACTACGCGGTCATCAGGCTTTCGGTACCGCAGCGAGCTCGTCTCGCTCAGCTTGGGGGTGAATACTGTGTGGGTGGGCTGGAACACGGGCTGGAAGCGCACGCGCTTGCCTTCGTCTATGCCGGAGACACCCGGCGGCGTCTCGTCCTCCACGGAGCTCGGCAGCAGTGGCGACAGGGACACACTGAGCGCAGCGTCCGTCATCCGGCTGTTGCTGCGAGTATCCACCACCATGTACCGGCACCAAGACGAAGCTGCTGCTTGGGGTGCGCTTTGCCAACTGACTGACTATATGAGCAGATCTTGACGGAGAGCCACTCGAAATTCGAAGCGGGGATGCGGTCTTATTTAGTTTTGCAGGAGCAAACAAATATGAGGTTACTCGAGCTTAGTTAGCAAGCCCCATTGTGATTCAAAAAGGAATCGGAATAGACGGGGGATGGAAATTAAAATTCTTGCACCAGAGATTTAGGCTGGGCGGGTAACAACCGCTTATTAACCCCTTCAAACCGGGAGCCTGCATGTGCAGCTTTTCAAAAATGCTTAACCTGCATAATGCAGGTTAAGCTCAAATATGACTTAAAGTTTGTAAAGCTACTTTTTTTTCAAATACTCGGCTTTACAAAATCTAAGTCAAAAAGAACCCTACAAGTGCAGGCTCTCTATACGTGTGGTAGCATAGAAGATACACATAACAAGCGACGAGACAGATAATATCTCTCTAAATTTGAATATAAGATATAAAAGTTTATGTGGTAAACATGAGTTTTACATTATTTTCCAAAGGTAATTTTTTCGCTCCCTCTCCAGCCACTCATTCGAGAATTCGCGCTGGAAAAGAACGGAGCCAGGCTCTCTGCATGAAATGGTTGCTGTCCGAGGCAAGTACGTGAGCAGTCAAAGCATCCCGTTTGGTGTGGCGTGGAAGGAGCTGAAGAAGCAGGGGTGGACATCTGTAAGACCGCGAGCGAAGGACTTAGATCCGAGATGGAAGTACGTTCGCCCTGGCGGACATGTTAACGGCACAAAAGGCATCGACTTTTTTCTTGGGGAGGAAGAGCTGTTGGAGTACTACAGTGGTGGTAAGCGAGATGGTGGCGATTGCTGACTACACAGGCTAACCAATTGCTTGTATGATGTTACAGCTTCCAAAAAGCCTTCGTCTACCGGCTCTGGACCATTCCAGACGCCACCAGCACCTCCTGCTGATCCTGCTGTCACAACAAAATCACCACCCGCTCAAGCGGCCACCACCCAGCCCACGTCTCCACTTCAACCTTCTTCAGGTACTCAGCAGCCTTTGACGCGACAAACGCAAGTGAAGCGCACTCGAAAAGTGCCCAAGCCGCCTGCCACGGACAAGCAGAAACGTCGCCGCTCATGTGAGTACCAGTTGCATATTCATGATATGATATGCAGGATATGCAGGATAACTAATTAGCATTATGCATTAGCTCATGCAGTACATCCGCCCGAAGAAGCCCGTACGCTATCCTGAATATTTCATCGACCACATGCATATTGATGCAGTCTAACGCTTGTGAATGCACTATAGTTGACGACGCCATATCTGATGAAGAAAAAGCGCCAGTGCCAGTAGCTGAACCCGTTACTCAAGTCGTCGCTCAAACCCCCATCGTGTTGCCAGGTCCTCATGGAGGTGACGAAGAAAATGTTGAATCGGGGGACGAAGGGTATTCCAGCGTTGAGTCTGTTGAAGAGAACAACGAAACGGGTATGTCTTACAATGCGATTCAGTGCGTATGCTGCATATTCATGATACCTTATTCTGAATATTCATGATAACGATTTTTTATGCTTGTGTTACGAAGATATACTTGCAGAAACAACTGACCAGTTGAATGTGGACGCCCCGGGCGGAAGAGACCCCAACTATGATGCACTTGAATCTGGCGATGAAGCGGCAAGGGACGACGTTGTCACAGATACCCAGTCTGATTGCAGTGGTTGGGTATCAAATGCCAGTGCGGCCGATGGATCGGAGCCGGACCCTGAACGAGACGAGATGGATATTGCGCTGGCAAAAGAATTTCTAGATGGATTTGGAGGCACCGACGCTGTGTTGGCGGGTAACTTGCTGGACAGAACACTGAGAGAGTTTTCGACTAATGGATGGGGCCCAATTCAAGAACCGGATGTGTATGAGGAGTTACAGACGCCTTACGTTCCTGTTGAAGGCGCTAGTAGCTACCCGGGACTTCACCAAGGCTATTCCGGACCCACTCCTGAAGTACTGCATCGTGGGGACTCGCCTATGGCGTTGTTCTTTTATTTCATGCCGGTTGCATTGTGGCAGCACGTTGCTGTCTGTTCAAACAAGTACCAAAGAGATATGCTCCACGCACGTGTTGACGATGCCTGCAAGCGCCACAAGCGACGCTGTCAAGCGAATCCTGCCACGAAGAAGAAGACACGGCGCGATGTGCTACAAGAGCTTCAAGCAGTTCCTCCAATCAAACCACACGAGCTGTGTCGCTTCGTGGGACTACTGATCGCGCGAACAATTTGCCCAAACCGAGAAAAGCTGGCAAACCACTGGAAAACCACCGACGAGGGGGCGATTCCACGTGGAGCGTTCAGTTCTGTGATGGCACGAGATCGATTCATGGATATCTGCAGAAATCTACACTTCAATGATAACGACGACCCAAGAGCGACCACGGATCGAGCCTGGAAGATCCGCAAGGTTGTTGAAGTGCTGCAGCGGACGTTTCGCGAAGGATACGTGCCACCTGCAGAGCTTTCATTTGATGAAGCCATGCTTCCAAGCCGCAGCAGCTTCAACAAGATGCGCGTCTACATGAAAGCAAAACCGCACAAGTGGGGAACGAAGCTCTTTATGTTGTGCAGTGCACACACGGCCAGCTGCATCAGGTGTTTTTTTTGGTTCTAAAATTTTCTTATCCTGTATTATTCACTTTACTAATGAAAGTATGTTCCTGTTTAAACTGCATTATGCAGGTTTGAAGTATACTGCGGCAAGAAACATCATGCAAGCGACGCTGCCCAACTCGACAAGAAGGAAGGCCCTGCCGCCGTCGTTCGAAACCTCCGCGAAGTGTTCTGTGACGCTCCGTTGCCCGCAAAGAGACTGGTTGTCATCGATCGCTTCTACACCTCGGTTGCTCTCCTGATTCAGCTACTACTGATGGGGTACTATTGTGTGGGCACCATAATGACAAATCGCGTTGGGTACTGCAAAGAGATCATTTGTAAGATGAAAACACGGCCACGAGATGTGGATCGGGGGACGTGTAAGATTGTGGAATCTTCTAAAGTACCACAAGCACAAGACTTCAAAGCCGTTGACGCACGTTAAATTCATGAAGCGCCTCCACTTGCAGCTCACCCAGCTCCAAGAAGTGGACATGTTCGACGGAAACACGTTTTGTGAGAGGGAGCAGATCGCCGGTACGTCGGGTTCTGGTGTGGCGGGGCACGCTTCTACTCATGTAGCACAGTTGGTGGATGAATGGAGGAACCGAGATACGCAGCCGAAGCGGCGTCAGCGTGCGTGTAAAGTTTGCTCTCTGATGCAGGGCGCGAAGCCCCACACGACGGCGTACTACTGCTCCGAGTGCGATGGTAATGCGCCTATCTACCTGTGTATGCGCCCGAGGCATGTGATTCGCGGAGTCTTGACAACCTGCTTTGACGTGTGGCACAAGGAATGGAGTGAAGGAAAGCTGCGACCTTCGAACCAAGAACGCCGCATCCGTATGCGCCCAGCAACTCCAACGAAAGGTGGTGGATCACGCAAAAGACTGAGAGATGCTGCTGATTAAGTATCATGCATATGCAGGATACCAAAGGGTGAATATGCATTTTATCATCAGTATTTGTGTTTTTGCGAAGTAATGGCTGCAGTGAAAATTGTCTTTCTATATCTCTTGCAGGTTGAGAATAAAGTGCAACCGTCGATTCATTTTGCTTACTATGCAGTCCGTGAGGCCAGAGCCGGAAGCCCATGCTCAGATTATATTATAGGCTTCATATTTGTATGAGCCATAAAAACTGAACTTTTGATTGCTTGCCACTTGGATGGGAAAACTTCAATATATGTACGCAATTGGACACTTTCTAAAATTCGACATTCAAATATCTCTAAAATTGCAACCGTTTCTGCACCCGCCTATCGCTGTACTACCAGACGACCGGAAGTCAGCATCTATGTTACGGAAATGGAATGAATAATGCAGTTTAGAACCTAAACTTGCAGCCGTGTATGCACGTTAATATGCAGTTTGCACCGGTTTTTACAACGTTCGGCTCGTCGACCATCTCTGTAACACGTAAAAGTATACAAACACCAAGTCAAACTATCTTACATATGCAATTTAAGGAAAGGAAAAATCAGCCGGTTTGAAGGGGTTAATACCCTTTTTTCTCCGCACTACAAGGCCTTTGCGAAGGTTGGGGTAGATCTTGAATACTGTACAATCCATGATACTTGTTGTGTTGATTTGGTTCAGTTAAACACGCTTCCTTCCTTGTTATACCTTGAAGACTTCGCTGCTCACATTTTAAGCGGTTTTTTCTTGACTTTTAAAGAAAATATCTAAAACAAAACTGGTTGACAGACTACTACTTTTGTAAGGGGCCCAAAACATTAATTGTATCACTAAAAACGAGCGATAATATTTTCTACCGACTAAAAATAGTTGGAATCAGCTCGCAGTAAAGCTTATTCGCCCAGCGCAAACAAACTTGCCTTGTCAAAATTGAACTAGTGGGGCTCAAAAGTACAAAACTTTAACTAATGCCGTGCTAAGCCCGGTGAAGCTCTGGATATTACGCTATTTTCAAAAGTAATAACTAGTGCGGAATGAAGGACTTTTTAGAAGAAAAATGGAGAAGAATTGCGATTTAACTAAGACTTCCAGTCTAGAAGAAGACATCAACAAACCGAGCGAGAATGATAGTCATTCATTTGAGTGGCTATCCCCGAACTTTGAAAACTTGAAAACAAGTTGGTACCCTAACTTAAGAAAGTATTGTATTTTGAAGAAGACCTGTAATAATTTTCCACAGCATTATGGTTTCTTAATCTGTTCGGTCCTCAATTGCATGAAGTCTTTGGGTTTCTGCCAGCGCATCACGACTTGGAGTAAAATACTCCAAAAACTCTTTCGTAAGGGGGGCCATGAGATACAACTGCGATAACGTTTTCACTCGAGTGACGGCGACATAGAAAGATGAACGCTGAGGAATCC